GTTCCATTTCGCGTGTAGTAAGCTGTCTCCGTTTTTTCTGTACCCCTTTTCCCAAAATTTTTTCTTTCACGGCGGCATCTCACCGCACCGCTACTTTCATTCCCTACGGGCGATCAATTTATCGTAACTTCTGCTTTCTGTCGTTTTTGGCATTCGTTTTGAAAATCTACGCTTCCCCTTTTGGATTTTGACAAGAATTTATTGTTCCCTGGGCATATTAACACCCCCTCCCTCTCCCCCCTGCCTGCGCTCGCTGGCTATTCTAGAGGGAGGGCGGGGTTGGGTAGGGGGTCGCTTTGGTGGAGTCTCCGATAGTGGTGGTGGTAAGTCGTATCGCGAGACTCCCCTGAAGGGAGGTAGGGGTCTTAAAATTTCTGAAAACGTGCGAACGCGACAGTTGTTTGTCAGGTGCTAATTTAGTGGGGGGGGGGACTACGCGGGGACGCGGCGTTCTGTTCGTCTGCTCCTCTAAGGCTTAGTCCAAGGGGCAGTTACGGCGGACTGAGCCTTGGAGAAGCAGACGAACAAAGCGCCGCTCCGTCCCCCCCCCCCTCCTAAGGTTAGCACCAAGTTTTGTCAATGTGGGAATCAACGAGCAAAGGAGTGATCCCATTTTTTCGGGTTCTGAGCCGTTTCTCATGATTTTTCTTCATTCCTGCTTCTCTGGTCACCCTCTCTTGATTTTTGATGGGCTGCCTTTTTCATCGTGGACTCCGCTTCTAAATGTTAAGCAGAATGAGCCTATTTTTCCATCAACAATGAGGAAATTTTAGGAGAAGAGACGGAGGTGTGGGTGCTGTTTGGATGCCGTGATAGCTTCAAAAAAACAATTGAGGCACGATACAGGAACTGCAGCATCTTCTTCGCACCATCTTCTCCATGAGCCTTAGATAGCCATCTGTAAACCAAGATAAAGAATGATGTAAATTTTTTGCATCGGTTATTAAACGGGTTTCTTCACGTGTTCTCCCTGTGTAGCTATTTGGTTTGGTTTATTTTTTTTCAATATTTCGCTCGGTCCATTCTAGAATACAATATTACCTGTTGAATTTTGAGTATTCTGCGGAAAATATAAATCTTTCGAATTGTCAATTGTTTAGCATTCTCTGAAATAAACATCGGACTTCAGATCGGAACCTCGCCGTTTAAACATTGTGGCGATAACTGCGTATCTGTAGATCTCTGTAAAATAAGGGAATAGCACCGGTAAAAGTTCGGTTCACGTGATGTTCTAGTTTGGGTTGACCGGGTAAAAGTGCACGATAACAGTCAAACCCCAACGATTTTCCGTAATGGGACGAGTGGTTACCGAGAACTCATTGGTGAACCTTTCTGACGCACTTGGGCACATGCTCCCCCTCCCCTCCCCCTAGGAAATGTTGCAGTGGGAATATAGGTAAAATTTGGTGAAGATGAGGGAGAAATAGATGGAAGATAGGGGAATATTGGGAATTTTTACGGTTTCGTGGTAGTAATAGGTAGTATTATACCCCCCCCCCTCGCTCAATGGCTCTTTTGCTGTTTTGGAGGGAAAAGTGGGTGGAGTTAGGTATGTCGAGTTTAAATACTACAGAAAC